TGATGAAGGAACAGGCAAACATCACCATAAATTATACATTTGTTTTTCACCGTTGGTGTTGACGTACAACAACTCAAACATTAAGCGGAACAAAATAAATTTAATACAGGAATATAAAACACCCAAATAGAAAAGACAGTAAGGTGAGGAAGAACAATCTACACCCATCCACACACACTTACATACTATTATTCCCTTTAAGACCCATGCATCTTCTTGTTCCCCTTACATGTGCCTTTTCTAAAAACCCCACCACGAGCCCAATGAGTCTCCAGTTCAGCTGCCACACAGAATTTATGAACGGGACAGACACGTAAGTCAAGACTATACAGTTCAAGTACAGAATCACATTGAAGTTTAAATTCTGTGTAAAAGAGCGGACAGAAATGTTCTGAGACAGACCACTATCAAGATGCACAGCTGCTCTGATCTTTGTCAATGTGGCCATCTAGTGGAGAAAAAATAGATCACAAGTACAGTAACAAATGTCATCACATTACATTGTACTCAATTAATAGATGTGTCCTGTAGAAATTAAAAATGTCATGAAGATCTGTTGGTTCCCATTAATTTAGTATGAATGGGATATGGAATAAAAGGGCATACTTTCTCTAATGTCTCCAAATATAAACAAGTTAACATCAATCATGACAAATTATATACAATATGTATAATGAGAGATAGATAGAGATAGATGTTAAAACACTTGATTTAACATCAACTCCAAATGTTCTTCACATTGTATATTGGTCCTCGATTATAGCTTCCCTTATGACTATACAGCTGACAAATGTGGCAGTGAAACCACTGCATCTTAGACAGAAAATACATGTGTGGCAAGCTGTTGGCTTTTATTCATTGTGTGTAGTGCTTCATTCAGTCAGCTTTTTGTTGGTTTATGTTTAAAACACCCATAAAGCCTGAAATAACAAGCAAAGATTAAAAGAATGATTCCCAGCATTGATATAGGAGATACATTTTATGTTGCCATAGCTACCAAGGCTATGAGAACGAGACCTTGCACTTATTATCCAGAAATGAAACACTTCTTCCAATACACCGTGCTAACCTCCGAGCAGATGAAAAGGACGGAAGTCGTGCTAAAATAAGTTTGATGTGGAATCACTAGTGCTCTGGAATATGACATATTATTGTTAGGTCTTAAGGTTCAGTCTGTTTGCATACAGTGTAAAAGGACACTTTCATTCATTCTGTATAAATAACCCTGTTTAGATGGATTAGAGTGGTCTTTGCAGGTAATAATTAAAGGGCACATCCTTTGTGTCATTTCTTACAATATCCTCTCTGTCTTTCTGCCTCACCACACCTTTTCAGTCAAGCCCTGTAAAGTCAGTTGAGATCCCCTGTCATACTTACTGCTGACCACTGAGGACCACCACTGGACCATGGATCAGTTAGGAGTGAAGAGTCAGGATCAAGGGAATCCGTTGTTGCAAGAGCATAATTTATTAATCTCTCCCCATTCACACTTTCCCAGTCAGCCTTCATTAAGCCACTTTGCTGTTACTAGTTCACTACTAGAGCAATACTCTGTCATATATAATCAACCACAATACATGTGAATTATAGTTACTTTGTAGGGCATGAAGTTGTTTAATAGGCTTTGGTAATAGAGCTTAAAACTGAGTGCCCTATATGAAAATTATAGAAAGAATATAAGTGGATATTTTATGTAGTTTGTGGAAAATCAATCACACATTGACAGGCATGTTTGTGTTCAGCAGTCAATTTGGTTATCATTAGTTTTGTTATTTGTTTCTCTTCTGAAAGCTTTTACTTACCTTTTTAATTAAATCTTGTGGACCGTCTTGTTTTGCATCGAGTGCTTGCATTTAGCCAAAATGCACAAAGGTGTGTTTATTTCAACTAAGAAAATCGTTTTTCATCATTGTTGGTGCCACACATGACACTTTGGCTGATTGTACTATGTGTCTTAATCTAAGTTTATAAGCTTCCTTGAAAATAAGATTTGTTCTAGTTTTAAAAGATTGTCCCACATGAACAGTTGGATGGAACTAACAGTTGTTTTTCTAATTGATTAATTTAGCAAGTATATTTTCTGACTAATTGATTAATGGGTTGGTTTATATATAATAATGGTTAAAAAAACAAATAGTTTCAGCTGTTATTGGAGCGATATAGGTAGAAAAACCGTAAAGTTATCCTTTAACGTCATCCGAATATGTTTCCTGACCTCAATCTCTTTCTTTTTCTAGCTTTTTTCTTTCTTTCTTTTTTGAAAAAACAAAACAAAACAAAAAGTCCCCAACATTTTTTGAACGAAATTATGCACAGACTTTAATTCGGCGCGCAGGGTAAAGGGTAAAAAACACGCACGCATGTGTCGAGTAGTCACTTTATTTTTAACCAGGTCTGTCTGCGAGTGAGGCTTCTTATCACAACACAATCTTTGGCTCCTTCCTTTTCAACCATGCGTCGTGCGTCATGACGTCACGGCGGGGCGGGGCGGAGGACCGCGGGGCGGACGCCACTCGGAGGAGGGGTGCCGCTCGTTGAACGTCTGTGTCAGCTCCAACAGTTTGCTCTCACCCTTGTAAGTGTGAAATTATATTTGTAGTTTGTTTTGTTTGTTTTTTTTTTGGTTTGTTTTTTTTTTGTGTGCGCGTGGTTGTTTTGCCGTCGGTGTGTGCGCGTGTGTAACGTGTGGCTCTGTGCCGCGAGGGGAAAGCTGTTAAAGAGATGTTAGATATATATTGTCATCGTATTAGCAGCTCTGTACAATGACACACTAACGGGACTGTCAACCCTGAGTCCGATAACACACTGCTGCTGCTCACTGACAACACTGACGGGCCACTGAACTAACGTCGAAATGTCAGCGACTTTATAGGCTTTACACGCATTGCTTCACCTAATGTCACAACATAGACGCAGACTCGCCTGTTGTTACTTTAAAGTAGCGTAAAGTACGGTATATGTTACTCAACGGGGAATTTCTTTGGACGTGTCTTTCGTAACTCTCGCTATATATCTCATCTCCTGTGGTGTCAGCTTAACATTCATACGCGGACGTTTTGCTGTACTACTTCAATAACAAAATAAAAAATGTTGTGGGACATAAGTCGTGTACAACAGGTCTTGCCTCACCGCCTATATAGTAGGAAATAAACAGCAAATATAATTCGTGGCATTTGGTATTTGTACTCACATGATCCTCTTGCTTAAGTTGTAAAGTTGTGAGTAACGTTAGGTGTTTATTTTACTACGATGCTGTCATATTGATGTGTCTCAGTGGCTTATGATATTAGCCAGGGCCCTGCTAGTTGCTTGCAACCTACACAAGTTTTAATAAACCCCCAGAAGGGTTTATTTTAGTCTCAACTGGCTAATGCAATTTGATGGGCCGAAGACATTTCATGGCCTGGTAAGGATGGACATCCGCAGCCTCATTAAATCGGATCCCTAGTATTCTTCCACAGAGGAGCATTTTTTCCTGCAACCTATTATCAGTGTCTGGGATACAGACAGAGACATACGCACTCTCACACACACACACAGGCACACAGACATACAAATAGGACACACCTACTAACCATAGTGAGAGTTGAGAACAATCTATTGCTGTCTCTTTCTATCAAGTCCTCTATCTGTGACCGGGTGGGATCCAGGGAGTGTGTGTATATATATAGATGTATAATATATGTGTGTGTATATGTGTGTGCATGTGTGTGTGTGTGTGTGTGTGTGTGTGTGTTCTCTGGTGCAAAGCTGTTAAATTGCTA